GGGAGGGCCAAGGGAACGGGAGGAGGATGAACCGTGAGGAGGACGCTGGAGGACCGGGTATCCTATAGGCCTGTCAGACCTCATTTGCATACATAACATTCTGGTCGACTGGACACCGGTCAGACCTCCTCTTTTCTTCTCTCTCGGACTCGCGAGCGTCCGTGCGGCGCGTCTCGTCCCTCGCTTGGCCGACCGCTTCCACGGCCTCGAGATGCAACGAGGCCTCCTCCATCTTTGTGTATCGATACCAGCGTTCGTATCGGACCTCGCCATCCAGCGTGGTCCTTTCGGTACCTTCGCTTCGAGGTGAAAATACCGGGTGACCGGGAAAACCGTGGGCGAATCGGTTCAGATAGCTGCGCCGCGATACTCGCGCCGATGAACATTAGCATAGCCGAGAGACTCGAGGCTTTCACGCTTTGTCACACTTAACGCCGTTTGAGGCTTCCGGGTGCAAAACCGTGTCTAGGAAATTCTTCCCAGGATTAGCCTCCTCGCGAGGCCGAGTCTGCGTCTGTATGCATCATACGTGTCTGCACGTAAGTGCTCAGGTTGCTCTTTATCGCTGTTCTTGGCTCGTATCAGTGATTAGTTAGAGCCGCTACGGGGATTTTTATTGTTGTGTTTAGTACTTTAGATTGGGTCGCAGTGAAAATCCATATCTTTATCGACGCGGTTTAAATATTTCATGATCCCAGTGTGTTTTATACTTTTTTACGATCTTGCGGTGCTTGGCTCTACATACGTGGTACAAGTTTTTTCAGACACGCTATTTAAACTCTGTCAACATCAACCCGTTCCTGTACTTATATTTAGTATTCAAATTGTAGTAGTAGAAGTAGTGGTTCAAATTTCTTGTTCGGAATAATGGACATTCTCAAGGTGTATACAAATCATTGCTGATATGTGTATAAAATTTTAATTAAATTAAATATTCATTACATATTTGTATAGGCTCTTCACAAAAATTAAACTTCAGCATAGATTGTATATTTAAGTATCTGTTAATTAAGTGGCAGCTAGATATTTGAACACTAGGAAAGCGGAAGATGGATAGCTAGAATTTTTGAGTTATCCGACTATTTAAATGATGGTGAAATGATATGCACATAATGAAGAAATATTTGTGAAACGTCAGTAAAATATTTGTAGAAGAGAATTAATGTGAGATTGTTTGTTTTCCAGGTGCACGAGTTGTGCGACAACTTTTGCCATCGATACATCAGCTGCTTGAAGGGGAAGATGCCGATCGATCTGGTGATCGACGACAGAGAGAGCTCGAAACCGCCCGAAATCGGGAACGGGTTGGACGGCGGTGGGCCAAGGAGCACCGCGGACAGCACCAGCCACACGGACGGAGCCAGCACGCCGGACGTCGTGAGTACCTCACCATCGTCAACGTCTTACTATCCGCACGACGCGATCACCCCCCATCACCACCATCACCATCACCACCACCATCACCACCAGAGCCAGAATAATAATAACAATAATAATAATCACGCCGGTATCGGCAGTACCGCCACTACCACCCCCTTGCAACTGAGCCAAAACCAAAGCCAAAACCACCACCCTGCGCCGCAGTCGAACACCA